CCTGTGCGCATGCGTGGACTCGACGCATGCGCAGAAAGTTTGAAGCTTTGAGGTCCGGATTATAGATCATTCCGGATTATGGGTGTCCTAATTAACGACTTTTGACTGTAATTGGTTGCCGTGAGCTCTTCTATCCGGCATCTTTGCCGCTGATGGATGAAATTTATTATCCGTTAAGAGTTTTCAGTGAAAATTATAGATGGTAAATATTGAATTCTGAAATTCTAGCAGCTAGCTGATAGATACTATAACGGTCCATACGATTACGCTTAAAGCATTTGACTTATTGAATTAGAAATCTCATTTGAGAGGCACATTTAACTCGCCAAGAGCAGTTTGTGCCATATTTGATTTAATCGCTAAGCTATAACTTTCTGACCCTGAGAGTAAGTGAGCTTTGTATAAGTAGGTCATTAAATGCAAATTTAAGCAGTTGGTTTACACTAGAAGCTATAGGATGATAAAAAAAAAGGTCCACTATGCATTTTGGCTTACATCAGAAAAGCTCGAAAAAACAGATAGTAATCGAAAAGCGAGATACATCTGTACCTTGCTTACTCTCTTTTTATGGCATTTCAAGATCTTTTTCTTTTCAAACTCTTCTGTCTTTAAGTAACGGGAATGATTAAAAAATCAGTTTATGAACACACACGCAATTTTATAATTTGCAAAATAAACGCGTTGAGATTCAATACAGCAATCCAATGTTTATGCTACTCTTCATAGCAGTCTTTAAAATCTTGTTCAAACCCCTCTCTGCAGCTATAGAAACGCTATCAACTGTCTCATAATTATGTGGACGCTAGACTGCATAGGGCTCGCATCGTGGATGATTATCTTCAGCTGTAAACAATTTAGCGCATGAAGTGACCAGCTTGATCACCAGACCTGAATACTATCGAGCATGTTTGGGATGCTTTGGGAAGACGGACAGCTGCTCTCAGTCCTCCTCTTCAGACCCTTGACACTCTTCCAACTGCTTTGCAAGAGTAATGGCCTCACTTACTACGGAACTGATAGATTGCACAGTTGACAGCATCGCACATTGCTGTATAAGCTGTATTGCTTGTAGGGAAGATCATACTCCATACTGAAAATAATTTTCCTGTACTAAACTGACACATCCGATTTTTTCATTTTATGCAGATGCTAATTTCTACAACACCATAATCATCTGGTAATTTCTTTTTATGTTATTTTATACCTTACTATGTATAGTGTGGGTCAATTTCATGTAGCGTTTTTGAGTAATCGTAATTTTGTAACTTTTCCTCAATTAATGATAGCCAGGGCATATGTGAAAGAACGCACTGTAGTGAAGGAACCATGTATTTGCAGTTTCACGGTGGCGAGGCCAAACTCATTTTTATTTCCTTGTACGAAGTAAAGGAAGTGTTGTAATCGTGAAAAATTCCTTGTAGCATATTTCAACGAAAATATTTATTTTGATATCTATCGAATGCAATTTAATGATGTTTTTACGTGACTTGTGTGCGTAGGGAGAGAATAAAGTACTCTTTTTCCCCAAACGAATTATAAAACTGATTTAAAATAGATTCAGAAGAGATTTTGTACATATCCATGTATGTATGCATCTCGCATAACTCAAAAAAGATATAATATGTAGATGTGCACCTCCCTTTTTTTTGGTTGCAAATCAGCCGCACCAAAAGTACAGTAAGACCCCGCTTAACGCGGTGGATACGTTCCATCGAAGTAGAGCGTAATGTGAAACAGCGCTAAGCGAGGCTATCTTAACATGTAAATAATGGGGTTAGGGGAAGACGGATAAAAAATGGTTAGGCATTAAATTTTAATAATGTTTTTTTTTAATAAAATAAATCAAACATTTATTTCTTACAAAAATAAAAACAATATAAACGCATATACTTTTAAAAACAAATAAAATTCTCAGTCAGATCATTCAGTCTATTCTGGCTTTCCAATTTTTCTGCCTTTTTGTCAAGAAGGCATTATGATAGATTGGCTTAATGACATATTGCGTTCAATTTCGTCGTCAATCCATATAGACAGTCGTTTTTCCATTTCCTCTATAATGTTATTTCAAGAACGGGTAATTCTAGTTGCAGAGCTTGACGTAGTTGCAGTTGCCGATGACAGTATTTTTTCTTTATTCTTAAGAATTGTCCTTATTGTTGAAGTTGCCAAAATCAATGCAGCACTAATTGGAGATTGACGTTCACCAGAATCTAATCTTCTAATCACTTGCATTTAAGTTTCCAGTGAAATGCTTTTTCTGGTTGCTTTCTTTTCTTGTTTTTTATTATCACCCATTATAAAAACTAAAGATCATAATATTTGTCACTGTATTAATCGTTATAGTATTATACAAATTTAAAACTTACAATAATGTCAACAAATGTTTTCAAATGATAAAATGCGTCCACCAAGCAAGAAACACAACTACACACTGTTTTCGGATATGTTATTTGGAAACCTAGCTCTGCGCACAATTTCGGAGAATCCCCGGGTTGAAATAAAAGAGCACTAAACCGAAACAGCGCTAAACGAAACAGCGTTAAGCGGGGTCTTACTGTACATAAATTTATATATACATATACATATCCACACTGTTACTCTGCTCAGTGAGATCAGTTTTTTTTAATTCTTATATGTTGGTAAACTTTGCATTTTTCGCTTTAAAAATTATTGAATTATGTTGTTCTTATCTCCCGGTTAAGGTTTTTATGCCTTTAGTTAATCTGCATGTGATAGTTGTAGAATTATCAACAGTTTAAAAGTTGTTTAAGAGCGGCTAAGCCTAATTTTTCTTACCACAGCAACCATGTTTGCTTACATTTGAAACTTACAAGAAACTTTTCTGTGCCTGCTGGCCGAATTACTTGTTTTTGCGCAGAAACTCTAATTTTAATTGTAAAAATTATTTTTTAATTCTTTTAACTGTATTTGGTGTTTTATATTTTTCCTACATCTTTGAATTTTTAACTAAGATATTCTGAGTTTTATGTCTTTTTGCCTTGCCGCGAAGTGAGTGAATATTGTCGCAAGTCTGTCTCGGACAGAGGAGAATGTTTACGAGTAGCGCATGCGCATTAGGTAAGCGGCGCTGCATTGCCTGTGAAAAACTGTTTCTTTTTTATTTGCTTAATTTCTTTTATACATCGTTTTAGATTTATTATAGTATTTGAATAGAACGTGTGGCAACGATTTGAAAATTCTTCAGATGATATAATCTTTGTGCATTCTGAGTTATAAAATGAATGAGATGTAACGCTGTTAAGTGAACCTAACGCCAGAGTGTCACAATGGTAAATAAATATAGTGAATTTTAAAGAGTGCATTTATTCTATTGTGGTTTACGCGCTATCGACGAAGTAGATTTAATTAAATTTCATAAGTTTAAATGAAATGCAGGAAAAAATGCGTATAATTTAATATTCCGTACAAGAAAGTCATGTGGTGTGCACATCAGATTTTTTTCCATATGCTAAAGTACTCTAGGCGCTTGTAAGAGTTGTCGTCTGTTCTCATTTTTTGAAGCCGCTCTTTTTGTTTGTTCTCAACACGCATTATCATGTTCATGAATACATTATATCACTTGAATAATTTGACTGAAGACGATGCAGCATCTTATAAACTCTGTTTAAAAACTGCAACGTTTGAGAAGCATATTTTTAAAGTGTCAAACAAAACTTAAACGCATAGCGTTGCTCGAGTCTCCTCAGCATTTTTACCTGCAACAAGAGACAGAAATTGCAATGCACATTACTAAAGTACAAACTGCTACAAATAAAGCAGACTCTGAGGAAAGTCAAACTATACTCGTTCACTACTTGAATTCCTCCTCAATCTAGTTCGATTCACATTTTCCTTTCCTAGGCTTTCGGTGAGGCACTCTTCCTCCCTCGCCTTCCCATAAAAATAATATCTAACTACACCTGTAATAATCCATATATATCATACACATAAACTTCTTTTAACTTTCTTTGCCACTTTCAGTTGGGTATGCCATCTGTTTCTGTCAATGGAACCTTATGCTATCATTCCACTATCACTTTACGTAGCACTTTCCTGATATAAAAGTACGATTAAAAAATTAGTTGTTTGATTTTAATTATGTTTTAAGGTTTCTTACAGATAAAATAATTTTTGTCATTGATAGACTCTAACTTCTGTTTTGCATTGTGAAAAATATGTATATACATATTCACACAAAGAGTATACGTATATATTTTTCAAGCAAATTTGCCGAAAGTTTTATAACTTAAATTTTTCCGATTAGACGAAAGTTTTTGCTGCTGTTTCAGTTTCTGGTTATCAAAGTTCGACTGTATTTTCCAAGCAAGGAAAAGAGCAATTAGGTTCAATATGAAAATTCGGCGTCCTGGAATCCATTTATTTCAAGCTGCAAATTTATTGGGGAGATGAGATGTGTTCTTTCAATAGAATAATATTTCTTTTTCTGTTTTATTTTGCAAATTAAAAACTTGAAATAAAACAAATTAATGAGTAACTTGTGGATCTGCTTTAAGATCTTAGTCTTATCACATTCTTCTTTAAAATATCTTGATGTGAAATAATTCGTGGAATACAAATCTATGAAAGTTACGACAGAGCTATATGAATGTAAATTAGAAACTTTGTAATAGACCAAATGGTTTTAATATATTACAGTGTTGATCAAAATTGAAAGGAAAAATTTAAAAGGAAGGAAGTTTTATTATAAATCAATAATTTCCTTTTGATTTAAGAACTTTAAATGTATAATGATTGTAGACGATTTACATGAACCAAATACTAATTTGTGCATGTAATTGGAACTCACCAAGCTAGTTTTGGTACCTGACACTACAAGGTAGTTCTCCGCCTTCTTAGCATGCCTTCGTAGTGTAGCGGTCAGCACGCTGGGCGCGTATTCCAGAGGTCCGTGGTTCGATTTTCGGCTAATTTTTCATCTCTCTTACTTTCAATTAACCTAATGTCTCCACAACACAAATAATTTAATGCAATAAATTTAGTCTATTATAAAGAATCAAATTTTATTCAATTATAAATTATTCAAAATTTTCATTCTTGCTTTATGCTTTCGCATAACATTAATCATTAATCAAAGCTGTTAAAAATATAGCATAAAATATATTAATGCATTTATAATGAATATTATAAAATATAAAATGTCTTGACTAATGAAAGAGATACTTTGCACGATGGAAAATGATGAATTTGCATCGAAGCTATTTTTACAAATAATTCATGATCGTTGTGCGTGGATGTTGACTGTTTTCCAAATTCTCAAAAACTTGGAACTGTTCATTGGTGTTAATTTCCTACATTTCTTTTTCTCTTTTCAAATAATCGTTTTTATAATAGCTTTCTAAAACTTCGCACTATAGAACTGTATAATCCATTATACATGAAAGTTGTATTATTTCCTCAGTTTGCACATTATGTATCCTTTTTACGACTTCTTGAATAACGTTTGAGCTGAAAAAATAAATGTTTTGGAGCGATTTTAATAATTCACAATACTATTTTTCAAACTTGATTTCACTATTTTTCACAGTTTCTTCTTTAGCTGTCATCACATCTTTCTTCTTTGCATGGCGCGAACGTTTCTTTTTAGACCTTTTAGATTCTGTATTCATTTTCCACAGCACGAGTTGAACACATATTTGCGCATCTTCAATACTATCATGTGCATTAGAAGGATTATGTATCGATTTATTCAAACATTTCCATGCAAGTCGCTTTAAAGATTGTCTGTAAGGAAAACCCTTCTTATGAGGTATCAAAATTGATGTGTCTATTATCTTCTCGTGCAGAAAATAGAGACCTAATAAATCGTTTTCTAAGCCATGACCTATTATTATGCTATCTTTGTCAAACAGAGATAATAGTGTTTCTTGTACATCTTCTATTGTCGTTGTTATTCCTGCAAGGTCTTCAAGCCTTATTCCACTATACATTGTATTGTAATCCGTTATGATATTCTTAGGTCTGACATATGTATTGTATACCACAGAGCAACAAGGAAATGATAACACTGTGACTTTAGCAACCTCTAGTCCTTTTGTGGTGTACACCATTTCAGTATCCAAAGCAAATGCATTAATATTAACAGAGACATTTTCCTTTTTTCTGGATGCTTTGACAAATTCATGTTCTAGTAACGAATGATAGCAACAAACATGATACTCACTTTTGAAAAATTCGGATGGAGGATTTGCATTATTGTTTGCTTTGTTATTTTTTTTCTTTTTACGTTTAAGCCCTTTAGGAATGTAATCACATCCATTAGGATCTATGTACCAGTCTTCCTTTAGAAGCGACACCTTCTTCCCACAGCGGCAGACTTGCTTCGCCGGATCAGAAGACAAGTTATAGCATTTTAAAGGGTTATACGTTACTCTCCCTGGTTTAGTAGGATGCTTATAAGGAAAACCCCACTTCTTTATATCCTCCGCAGTTAAAATGTAATTCAGTAAAGTATTGTATAGTTCATTATCTAACGTTTCATCATGCGAGCTAACCGACGCCATTTTTACAAGATTTCAAAAATGTTTTGTTTCCAGCAGAATTTCCATTTCCTCAGCAGAAGAACCTGAATAAAACGAAACACATTTATTAATACTTTTATACTATTTCTTTCTGCTTACGATTATTTTTCGAACAAACATATTTATTTATGCAAGGAATAGAAAAGTAATATAATGGTAGGAAAGAATAAACATATTTCAGATGTTTATAAGTTGAACTATATATGTGAAACACTTATTATTATGATAGTTTCCTCTAATTCAGGAATATTAATATAATGTTTATTTGGGATAGCTTCATCTATATAAGACGTATTATAATAGATTGTATTAGATTACATAACGCATATGCGTAAGATACATCCCAATTTTGGCCAATAGCGTTCCAGTTTTGACCAATAAAATATAAAAGGAGTTTTTCTTACCCCGAACCTCCAGAGAAATTAAAATGTACAGGGAAACATCGGTGCACTAATTTAATTCCTTTCTAAAAGGCTTTTCAACTTCCTATATGTATGTATATGAACTTGACTTTTTGTATACACATAATTTGCTCGTGAGCCGAATTGTTCATTAAGTGCAGCTTTCATGATTCGAGATTTCAATATTCAATCATTTCACTACATTTATTCAAAATTCCTATCCAATTATAAAATTATAATTTTTTTCTGATCTTTAATCTTAACCTACCCACTAAACAAAACAAGTTTTCAAGTTTCATAAGCATGTTGTGTGCATAATAAGAATAAAACACGATTCTGCAAACTTATAATGTCAAACTCATATTTATTAAATAGTATAATTTGCAGTGCTTAATAATTTTTTTAAAAAGTTTTATCTTGTCCCAGATGTAATAAACATGTTCCTTCAGCTGGTAAATCAGCATACTTTTCTTCATCATTACTACAAGGAGGTGGTGATAAGTTCTTGGCTTTGATTCCTCCTACTAAAACAGAAAAACAAATTTAGGTTCATTTGAAAGTTTGATATCTTAATATGTAAGTATGCAAATATCAGGTGTTTCTAATTCCTACAAATTTTTCTGTTGAAGCTGAGAAGGCAGAGCTAAAGCAAGATTCACATCTTTGGAGTTAAGGGCACTCATAAATCTTTTGTTCATCCAGGGAAAATCATCAGAGGAAATTAATACTGAGATATCACAAACACTGCATTGTCACAAACGCTGTCCTTCCTACAGCACTGTGAAAACTTGAATATCTCATTTCAAGACTGGAAATTTCACAGTTGAAAAAGAGCCCTGCAATGAGCATATCATACCGCAAGTGATACTGCAACATGCAATGTGTCCACCAAGCGGTAAAGTTACTGAACACTGTAGTTTGACATGGAATCGAATGCCAGCGACGAGCTGGCTCTATAGTTGGTTTTCGTGGTTTTTCCCCACGCGTAACGTACATAGAGTCAGTTTCTTTTAAAAAGTCCTCCACGAAGGCATCTCTCCTCATGGGCAGATAGGCATTAAGTTGCTTTCCTCTAGTCAATTAACCTATTAACATGCGATGTTATTCATGACTTCATTCTTGAGGACCTGTGAATATCCTACAAAAAGACAGGTTAGATACTGGACATCTCTCACAAATGTGTAAAGTTTATTATTACCACGATCCTAGACATATGCAAGCTGTTAGAGAAATGGGGACTAAAATGTTTGAACAATGATCCAGCGGAAGGAACGAGTTGAGACATCGAAAGCGATTTTGGCCCATTTTTGAAGTTATGCAGGGCATTTTGGTTAGACTAATGTCTGAGCATGTAACCTGGCTTGACATTTATGATCCTGAAACCAAGGAAAAGTCAAAAGAATGGTGTCACCTCTCTGGCGGCCACGGACTTCCGCGGGAACGACTTCTTCAGTACCCGCCACGGAAGACGTTCCGCAGCCAGAAATCGGCCAAAATTGTCATGGCGTTCGTTTTCTAGGTCGACATTCTGTTAGTGAATACCTACCTCAGAGATCCAGCATAACCGAACAATATTATGTAAACCTTTTGAACCAATTAAAGAAGACAATTAAGAAGAAACGTTGTGGAAAAGGGATCCTTTTGGTGCATGGCAGTGCACCTGCACACACGCCCATAAGAAGATATGAAAGCTGGCCAAGAACAAATGAAAAGAGAAATTACTGCCATAATAGAAAACCAATTCGAGGCTAGGCAAGGCAGAATAAACATAGTTGAAGACAAACTTGGAGAAACTGAAGAAGGAATTTCTGCAGTAGAATAAAAATCGAAGAAAGAGTTTCTGCCGTCCAAAAACAAATCGAACAACAAACTGATGATAGGGTTTCTGCTGCTGTCGCCAAACAAGCTGAGGTTTTAACCTCTTCGTCGTCCGTAACGCGTCTAGCGCATTCAAGTGAAACTACCGCAGGGCGGCCGTAACGCCCTATAAGCGTTCTTCTCCATTTGAAAACTTTTAAACGTTTAAAACGCTTTTTAAATATTTACTTGTTTGAGTTTTTATTTTTGTTCGTTCTAATACCTCCTAGAAGACAGCACTAATCCAGCATTCTATTTCTAATTGAATTTGCCCCGGGTTTTATGAATATTCGCGCCATTTTACATAAGATACAAGACAGTGAGAGACGGCTTCAACGTATATTCAGCAGAAAAAGAGAAAAAATGAGGTTGTGAATTGGAAAGAAGGATATACGTTTGATGAGTACAGTCCATAATAACTCGATGACTGATGTTGGAACGCAGAGAACTGTTAAAAACCAATAATTGTAAAAGATTGCAACAACAAAATGGGGAGGAGTGGACCGTCTGGAACAGATGTTATTGTTACGAAATGTACAAGCGCGTTAAGATAGCTTCCCCGCAAAGCAGTTTTAGGACTGCCATAAAATGGCAAGAGAAGGCGAGAAATCGCCAATATGGAGACAAAATTAGCGATATGCCATGGATGGATGGGAGAACCTTCTGGAACGAATTCTTACCGGTTTAGCCCAGAATGTTCTCGAACACCAGCCAAAAGCTATATAAACCCTGCTGGTACGCGGAGAGTTAGTATCGTGTGTGTGCCTCGTCTAGCGAGCTGATAGTCAGTCATTGAGCGAGTGTCTCGAAGTCTAGCGCCGAGTTGGTCGTCGAGTGCATCGAGAGAGTTTTTTAGTGCATTGCGAATTAGTGCATCATCGAGTTTTGTCTTAGACTGTGTTGAGTCGAGAGCTATACTCTTGTGTATCGTCGAGTGCATCGCGTGGAGAGTCTTGAGAGTACGTGGAGTTCCGAGAACGACCAAGCAGAGTTGGGAGCTGTACTCGGGTGCTTTGCGGTGAAGCTGTCTCCACATGACAGTGGGAAGACTGTGTCGCTGAACGTGTCAGCTTGTTTATAACAGTTCGACGACTGTAAAAGTGATTTTGGAGCTATCTGATTAATACTGGTAAATAAAAGTGTGTTTCGATACTTCATCAAGTTTCGTCATTATTATTCACTCCAAATCTACGAACCCCGTACGAACGTGAAAGAAGAAAATAACGTAAGAACCAATAATTGTAAAAGATTGAAACAACAAAATGGGAGGAGTGGAGCGTCTGGAATAGATGTTATCAAATTATTCTGCTGTTAGAAATAAGCAGATATTATTTTTCCATTATGCTTTATTTCCTTATAATTTTTATTTAATATTCATTGACATTCATCCACTACGAAAGTTATGTATGGAAAGTTATGATGTACAGAGAAAACAACATTACACGCTACGAAAAATAGACGGCCGCCGGGGAGAGATTTCGCGGACAGGAAGGGACGGCGAAAGGTTTAAAGAGATCCATAACGACAGGTGGCCACACTTCTAACTCCTTTAAATTCGAGCATATGTCACCCGACCCTCTCTGAGTCTATCCACATATGATGGAAAGAGATTCTGGCAAGTGTACAGAAGTTTGGCAAGTGGCAAGTGTTTTAAATAGTGGACCTGGTAAGTGTTTTCGATAGTGGCAAACGCAAATAGATGGAATTCCGAAGCTAAAATCTGTCGTCTCACCACTTCGTTAAGAATAGACGCAGTGCACATCCTTCAAACTCTGCCTGAAAAGCAGAGGCCAGATTTGAAAGCTCCTTCCGGCGCGTTGGAGATCCGCTTTGGGGAGACGTGTTGAAAAGGCTATATCAGGTTTAGTTAAATCTCACCAACAGAAGCTCGCGGAAACACTTCAAGAGCTAGCAACTGATTTGAATGGCTGTCTCATCTCGCTTTTTCGGACTGCCAAATAGAAACAAAGGAAGTACTGCCCGTGCACTACTTGAGCGATGAAATCCAGGATCCTGAAATGCATAAAGTCCTGAGAATGGCTGATGTCAAAAATTTAAAAAGCGCTCTAGAGTACGCCATGAAATTCGAGGCAACCCAGCAAGCAACTTGTAGAGACCGCAACCCAAGAAGGGTTGCAACCTGCTCAAATCCAGAAGACAGTGGATCAACTGACTGCTTGTCTAGAATATTTAAGCAGATAAATGAATGCTCTGAGACGGAATAGGAGTGACAAGAAATCGACCCTAACGTGTTAGAACTGCGGTGCTGAATGCAAAGTACGAAAGAACTGCAGAATACCCCAGGAGACGGAAGATAAGACCCCTTCCAGCAAGATGGGCAGAAACTATTTAGTGGCCATCTCACAGGACGAAGGTAGCCAGAGAATAGGAAGCTCCATTTTAAAGCGCTTCAGGTTTCTGCGATGAGTAGTGGTAGTAATGGGCTATTCATCATAGGACATATCAGTGGAGCTCCTTGCAATATGACCATCGATACTGGAGCCAACGTTACCATCATCCGAAAGGAGTTAGTTCAACTGTTGAAACGTAAACTCATCTGGACGCTACCTTCTGCGTAATGGACATATTAACTGAGTTTCTTGCAATAATACCATCGATACTGAAGCAAATGTTACAATCATCCGGAAAGCGTTAGTTCAACTGCTAAGAAGCAAACTCATCTGGACTCCGCCCTGCGTTACCCTACAGACTGTGTCTGGTGATAAAATTGTCAATGATGGAAAATTAAACGTAAGCATCATGTTGCAGTGCTGTCTGCCATCATATGGCAATTGTGGCAAATATTAACGGCCTTTGCATACTCTGATTGATGTTCTACGAAAATATTATTTTCTTTGGACTTTTGCAAACTGCATTCTGACTCTGAGGACATAACTCTATTTGGAATTAATGATGAAGGCGTTAAAACTGTTCACGAAATCTTTGTTGAAGACGACAGTATCAGAAAGATCAGAATTTTTATTTCCTGGATTCATAGCCGAAAGCAGAAATATCCGGTACGGTGTAATTGAATATCCCGTGAATTGTAACACCCCGCGAGGAGTACTAATAGCCTTGCCAATCGTTGATTTATCAAGGACAGTGATACCAGGGAGAAATCCCAATGTCAGTGGTAAGGCAAAAATCATTACGAAAGCTGAAGTGACATGTACTCCAGTGACCTGCATTAAACCACCCAATAGTCCGCCAGTCCCTGTGTCTTCTGAGACCCTAATCGGAGTTATTACAGAATGCAGAACTAAATGGGAAGACAAGACTGCTGTTGAGCATGTCTTTCAAGATGCTTTCTCCCGCTCGTCTCCTGACATAGGTGTCGAAACAGTTTGACACTGCTGTTTCGACACAGAATTGATACAGGAGATCATCCATCAATCAAGCAACATGCAAGACGTCTACCGATGGTTTCGCCTGAAGAAGTAATAAGTTTGAAAAGTCATGAAAGAAAGAGATGTTATCGAGCCTTTAGCAAATCCATGAGCCTCTCCTATCGTCCTGGTCAGAAAAGCAGACGGTTTAACTAAATTTGGCTTTGACTATCATAGGTTGAACGAGGTTACGAAAACACGCAGCTACACTCTTCCTAGAATTAACGACAATCTAATAACTCTTTCTGGAAGCAAGTGGCTTGCGAAGCTTGATTTAAAGAGTGGAAATTGGCAGATAGAATATCCTGTTAAGAGGTCTTACTTACGAAGCCTGTTTGATATACCTGGATGACATCATCATTGTCGGGAAAACACTTTTGAAGAGAATTTAGAAAATCTTAGAAAGTTGCTACAGAAACTGAAAGAAGCGAATCTAAAGTTAAGCCCCGCCAAATATAAACTATTCAGACAGGAAGTGACTTACCTGAGTCATGTCATGTCACCCGAATGTGCATGTGCTATATCGTTTCTTTCAAAACTATCCTCTCATGCGACAAGCAGCCTAATAGTTATCTTAAAAAAGAAAATGTATATCACGATTTTAATAAATCCAGCTAATGTAATTTCATAAAATATTGCATAGTTCTAATTAAACATGTCATGATTTTAAAACATGTTTATTTAAATCAATCACATTAAAAAGTAGGAAAAAAAAATTCTCAAGAACTGCTCTTATTGGTTTCAAATCACTTATGTAATTATTCAGTAACCTTTCAGATAGAATACGAAAGTGTTTTAAGCTTTATTGAAGAGCAATACACTAGCGAGTAGAAGATAAATATATGTATATACATATACTCTCGGCAGCGGTAACACATTGCTTTCATAGAGTCGAGTTTGTTAATTAAAATTGAAAGATAAATAAATATCTTACATTTTTTTCGATTGGCAAGAGTCTCATGAGCTGAGATAAAAATGTTTTATTTCGAACAGTATTACCACTGCTCCCTTTCATATCGTTAAATTTATTAATCAAAAATTGATTAAATTACAAAAAATATGAAATAAAATAATAAGACAAATTGTAAATTCAAAATTCGGGCTTCCAGGTGCACATATATACAGGTGGAGGACTACGTTTATTCAGAATTTAATGGCTTAACTTAATTAGGTACCGTCGGTCGTTTTTTCAAAACGCGAGAAACACGCATTCATAAATGAGAAATCTTCAGTCTTTAATTCCTTTTAAAAATAATACAAGGCGATAATATTTTGTTGGCAACAATCTGAAAAAGAATAAGCCGTTTATAGTGAACCAATGCTATACGTATTATATTAAACTGCAAAGAATCACTCATATTGATCAATTTAATTTTCAGTTTAATATTAGGAATGATTTTTGGATTTGGTTTAACTCAAATGCAGAAGATGAACAGATTAAATATACGAACAAAATTAAACGCTCTAAATGACATATTGTGAAAACTGAGAACTGCAAATAACATACTACGATTTCTCTTTTAATTTGTAAAGTTCATTTCAAATTAAAGTACCAGAATCGTGCTAAGTTACTTCTTTGATTTATAATTAAAAAATGTGTCTATTCATTATTCGATCGTAATAACGAGAAATATAGAAAAAAATTAATACGCCAAATAGTTATATAAAATTAAAATAACACCAGTATACTAAAAAAATTATTATACCTGTATTCAAGCATCTTGTTATTGTAGTTTAATTATCGTGTAACTATAGTTTAATTAATCTTCCTTTTAGTGAAACAAAATCACTAATATGATTTTTTTAAATAAAAATCTACATTTAATGATGTCAGTTTCCTGCAGTTGTTGGTTTTATTGTATTAAATTATGCAGGTTTAGGAATTATTTCATGGGGTATTGAAAACGTATTACAAATTAAAATTAAATGCTTTATGCATCTCTTGCTCAAACACTTTACTTTATGTGTCCCTAGAAACATAATAACTTAATTGCTGAGAAAGTAAGGTCCTATTTATGTCCTGAGTTTGATTCTCGAATGAATATTTATTTTTATCGTAGGAAACCTAAATAAAACCAATTGTTTTGAAAATTTTGCCTAATTTCTAATTATTATTTTTGTGTAATTTTTATATTTATCTAATTTTCATTCGTTGTTCATTCAAGGATTACAGTTTATCTCCATCTTTTTTCCTTCCTCCTTTCAAAACTTTTTTGTGTAACGTGGTTGTATAGTTAAATTAACTTTCAATTATTAAATTCCATCCACTGCAGAGCATACAGAATGAAAACAACCTGGGATTTGAACTCTGAAATCCTTTTCCACTTTTATATACTCCCTTCATTATCGAATTGCAACCAGCGATCGCTCTTGGAGGCCCTCGAGTGTGCTTTGTAGTACTTGTAGTGTTCTGGATCTGCTGCTCTGGACCACTTTGGACTTTTGAGCAGATATGATTGTCAGTACCGATTTATTTCGATTTTAACTGAATAATTCCCCTGAATACGTGATGTGTGACTCCAGAAAAGGTGTGACTGATGCTTATCTGAGCGAGTGTTATGAACTAAATAATTTTTATTTCATTGTTAAAAGTATTGGAGAGCTCGTCGCCTAATGACCTGATGGTCAATGGCCTGGCATTTTTTAATAATTAAAACAATTCTCAAGGCCCGTTCGCGGCCAAACGTTAAAATAGCTGAAAATTGCTAGATCGACCATTGCTCAAATCCCCAAAGAAGTTCCTGCGTGGGAGTTTTCGTGATTTTCCCCCACGCGTAGTAATGTGGTTATGAGCCAGTTCCACTTAGAAAGCTTCTCATGAAGACATTCCTTTCTTTAGGCAAACTGCTTTCGTATGCTTTGCTGTAACCAAAATAATCCAGTCCAAAGTAATGTTTAAAAGCTACAAGCAGAACAAGAAATAGTTTCAATTAAACATGCCAGGGTTTTAATTGGAATAACATTAATGAAGTTTAAAAAAAATTATTCTGAAACTGTTACAAATCGCTCTTATGTTTTTCATCCTTCATCACGTGATCATCAATTACTCCAAATGTACGAAGCCGCAAAACGCAACAAATAGCTTAAAAAGTCAATGATAAAGTATGAAAATCCTATTTACATTTAATACGTACAGTGACAAGCCGAAATAATCATTGAAATTTAGGTAAGTATGCTTACCTAAAGATCTTTCATCTGCTTTACCATTAATTATTATTTGATGATTTACAATCAAAGAGCTGACAAAGCAGACAAAATACCTACAAAGTAAAGTTATTATCCATTGTTTGAATTCTTCCACAAGACCCACTTCTTTTTTACTGAGCGAATTTCCGCAAATTTTAAGGATTTTTCGTAATTTTGCCACATAATAAATAAAAAAAATCACGAATTTTTCTGATTTATATTGAAGTTTCGAGATGGTTTCCAATGTTTAAATGCTCTTAATATTTGCCGGCATACTTGAACAATCCATTTTCGAATACAAACCACGTTAGATGATAGCAGATTAGGTCACCGACGACCAAGCGGGGTTCGAATAGCAGCGAATGGTCTGGTTGCATGGGTGATTTCGTGATTTTTCCCATGTATAGCATGGTACAAGCCAGTTTCACTTAGAAAAGTCCTCAACGAAGGCATCCCTCCTTTTATGCTGATAACCCTTGCGTGCTTTGCCGTAATGAAATAAATAACCAAACCAATGATTATAACAGATACCAAATTAAAAAAAAAAAAATATGTGGGGCGTATAACGTATTACATTATACTATCATCTTAAATCAAGATCTTAATCGCTTGTAACGATTCTGGCAAATCTTGAGTGTTTGAAAATAAATATAACTTAATGCGTCGTTATCTAACAGGTTCTTTGAAAGAAAGTTTAGTGAAAATCCTCGGCTGCGAAATATTCGCCGAATTTCACGATTTATCTCTCGAGATGTTCCTTAACTTCCAATTATGCCATCCTTCCGGCGATGAAATAACTTATACTACGTGATGCAAGAAAAAACATTGAAATATTGAAGGGGCAAAATTTACTTTAACGAATCTTTATATAAAATAACACACTATACCTAATATTTGAAAACTATTTTAAATCCGTTTTAGTTATACTTAATTTCAATGCATTCAATGAAGTGCTGACCTAATATATAATGAGATTATTAAAAAAATATGAGTATAATTTGAACGCATTCTTTTTCTATGATTAAGTTCTATAAATTACTCCATGTAAATATCAGTTTAGCATTCAAGATTTTATGTATAATGGTTCAAAATTGGTAACTGAGGCAGTTTTAAAGATATCCCTAACGCTCTCTGAAAAAATATCGAATGATCTTTCCACGTTCTCGCATAACCCTTAGCTGAATATTTATTAATAGTATTAGTCAAATAATTAATCATTTGAATTATATTTAGCGGAGAGCCAAACATTGCTCTTGAGAAATTTTTCGTTGAATGCACTAACTCGTTATGGTTTCCAGACTCTGCAGATGGCTATTGAAAACGTTCAACGTTTTATTATCTTGATTGGCTAATGAAAGCTTTCAACGTTTTGTCCTCCTAAATTGCTTTTTGCAAGGGTTATATACATTCGAAACCTGTTCAACTCTGCAGACGATCTACAACACAGGCGTGAAAAAATTCGCCAAATTTCCTACTTGGCGAAAGATGCAATGACGTTAAACCTTTAGGTTTGCAAAGTATTTGAATAAGTATAATCTATGTATGTGCACATTTTGTGCTGTAGAAATAACATTTTGTGAATGAAACGTGTCATGGTGGATCTGTAAATGTTACTTCGTTTCCTAAGATAAAAATATTAACCATTTTAAATGCAGAAAAATTAAATATTACCTCAAAATGAAAATTGACAATCCGCCGAAATAGAGTTGTGGCGCCCTCTATTTTTCAATATTGATACTAGTCGAAAAAACGCTAAAAAAACAAAAGTGATATTCGGCAAATATTTATTTATAACATAATAAAGTATGCTATTTTTTTTTTAATTCAGCAGAATTTCGAGGATGTATTCTATGTAGCAGCAGACTTTTTCAGTACTGCACTGCATTTTTTTATGAGATAATAAAGGGCTAAATTTCCTTATATTGAACGAATAGGCAGACATTTGTCATACAACAGTACCTGTGTCAACAGTACCTGTGACAAATAACATACAACAGTAACCTGTGTCAAATATTTAAAGTTCAGAATTATAGCGACGCTTAACCCTTTGTTGCATCATGTCCCCTCTAGTAGACAAAAGTTTAAATTTGTTTATTCTTCTGTAAATGACTTAACAGATTCCATTCCTGTCTTTATTCAGTCTATATTATTAGAACTTTCAACTATCGATCATAGATAGCTGTATAGCATCACTAAGTAAAGCATTGCTATTTGGAAAATGGCTGCTACTTCTGTTTCCAAGTTAGTACAATTTCCTATAGTAAACATTATATAATATTGCTTATATTTTCTTATACTTGCCATTTTTTTATTTATAATTAGTCATTTTACACATTTTATTTTAAATGTCAGTTTGAGAAAATTGTGGAGTGGGTATATAAAGATCT